CATTTTCAAAGTATTTTTCTCACATAAAAGGGCAAATAAAGCTATAAATGTGTGTATAGTCTTTTACAGCCAGTGTATCAACAAAATTCCAGTGTCATTTTGACAGCTTTCAGTTTAACCAGCGTTTGTGCTGAAATGCACTGGACAGAGCCCTGGTGGAGGGAGTCTAGATGTCAGTTAAAGGGCTGATACGCTAAAAATAAATAATTAAAGTAGCCGGCTAATTTTTTATAGTGGGTTAGAGCAGTTAGCTTGTGCCTTGAGAAGGTTGCAAGGACCCGGTCCCCACTGCCTCCACTCTCAGCTCCTGAGCAAGACACTTAACCCTCGGTTGCTTCCCGGGTGCCACACAATGGACGCCCACTGCTCCCAAAAGGGATGGATTAAATGCAGAGGTAAATTTCTCCGATGTGAGACCAATAAAGTTAAATTATTATTCAGATTACGTTGAAATACCCCTCACCCTACATCACCTCCAGATCTGGTCCCTGGTCAGTTAACTCAGTGTTCAGATTTCAGAATCCCAGCAGAGTTTCACTTTGCTCTAACCTCATGTCCAACATGTCTATCCCCCTTCTGCTTTTATTCACTCCTAAACATGCCTTTACAAAGCATAACATGGAAATCTCTTGCTCCACATGCAGCATTTGCATTCGGTGTGAATGCTCAAAAACAATTCCTGCTAAACTAACTCATTTTAGGCAAAACGCAAGAAAATCATGAGTTTCATATATTTAGGCCAAATTTTAATTCCAGTTCTCAATAAATCTGCAGCATTTTACACACATTTATAAACTGGTTCTCCTAACCTTGAGCAGCAGCTAAATAAAGATTATTTTCCACAACTGAAGAAGAGCCACAGACATTTATTTTTAAGTTTATGCTTTAGATAAACTGCACCAATCCAGATGCCTGTTCTGCAGCTTCACAGGTTGCAACTGATGTTCAGGTCTTAAAACCTCTGACGTCAGAAAAATAAAGTCATGAAGTTAAACCCTTACATCATCTGCACCAAATATAAAAAGGTGAAATCCTCAGGCTCCCTTTTATCAGACACACAAACACAGTGTTTAAGTCGCAGTGATCAAAATTCAGACAAACCAAAGCAGCTTAGAGCCAGGATGAGGCTGAACAGGCCAGACGGGAGCAATAGGAGAAGCTGGGTTTTTCTTCAGTGCCTGAGGCGGGTAGAGATGGGGGGAAATAAAAGAGGGGGGAGGACCAACCTTTACAGCAGGTAACACCCATGGCGGCCAAGCAAGAATGCAGGAGCGAGGATATCCCATAATGCAATCAGCAGGAGTGATGCGAAAGGAGTGAGTCTCTGTTTCAGTTTAAATCAAAGGCATTTGGTTCTGATTGGCACACTGTCCGAATGGAGGGGCGGGTCCAACAGATGTTAACAGCAGGCAGGTTTTGGTTGTGTTCCACTCTCATCGGGTCACTCCTGTGTGAGCCTGATGAGGTCAACAATGGCAGGATTACATCTGTAGATTGGATTACACCCCCCTCCCCTCCCCACAGACTCTTCCGTCCTTCATCTACTTTTTGTTTGCTTATCTTCTTTTACATTCTCTAAGGGACCTTTAATCTATGAAAACTCTCTGTGTTATAAACCTAAACCCTCACATCAGTGATCTGATGTTTGAAGATTCATTCAAATTAAGTTCCTCCATCGCTAACAGCAGCTTTATCCAAGAATATAAAGAACAAATCGCGATGTTTCTTTAGTAAAACGTGTTTTTTATTGGTTTGATGTTTTCACTATCTGTGAGCCAACAGAAAAAACATCTATGTGTGTTGAATGGTTCTATAGGAGTACGTTTTCCTGAATGGCTGTGTTTGGAATGTTTTCAAAAATAATTCAACAATGATCTAAACTCTTTATTCCCTCCAGGTCGAAGCTCAGCTGTAACCATAGCTGCCATTCAAGTTTAAATTTAAGGTTTGTGCACAAAACAATAACCTATCCCAACATTTACCGGAGATGTTCTGCAAGTCCTGAAAACATTTATTTATTGATGGACTTCTAAAAACTCATATAAAAAAAAATGATTGATTGATTGACTTTATTAATCTTACAGTGGAGAAATCTACTCGTTACATCAGCTCAAATAGTCAAAGGAGAAGAAGTAGGTGACAAAAGGAGGAAAAGGTGCATGGGATATAAACAGTATATACAGTGGATCCGCACATATATGACAGCTGAATGAACTAAACCTAACATGAAATGAAAAAATTAAGTGGGGTGGGGGGGACAGCTAATGGACGTTCCTGGAGGAGATGAAGTCATGAAAGAAAAAGATGTTTCTTTATTATCTCTAAAATCAAGCTGCTCCAACTTAGATGACTTGCTTTGATTTCTAACAAGTAATTTAATCAAGTTGACCCAAATTAATCCACTAAGTTTATATAAATTAAGTTGGGCAAGCTTTATTCAATTAAGTTACCAATCAAAGCAATTCATTTAACTTTGAGCTGCACGTTTTAGAGGTCACTTGCTCCATCCCAACCCTTCAAATGAAACAGAACACTTCTGGATTCTCCTCAAATAATGAGAAAAATATGCCTCATAGAAGAAGGAGTTGGAACAGAAGCACAACAGCTGGAATCTATCAAACAAGGAAGTTAAAAAGACCTGACCAGATCCCCTACAGATCTCCCCTCTAAATGAAGAAAAATCTGATTCAATGGAAATCAGCAACAAATCAGCATCAGCAGAACCAAGTTCCCACATCCTGGCGCCCAGGAATCGTCCTGGTGTGAGGATAAACTTTGGTTCCCACGGCAACGCACTGATAATCCAGCACGAGGGATTATAGAGGAAAGTCAATTAGGAGGATGAAAAGATTGGGGGATTTGAAATGTATCCCAAGTAGGATTCAGAAGCAGACAGTCGGCGGTGATGGAAGAAGGAGCTGAGCTGGATGAAAGGTAAGGAGGGACTCTGGACTCACCTATATCAGAGTCTTTGTGGTTCTTGATGAGTTCAGCGAGCTCAAAATTTCCAGCGATAATGGCCACCTGCAGATAGAAAAAGGACAGGAAGGAGAGAAGAAAGTAAAGGTTTTATTTTTAGTCCAAATCAGTTTCTGTTAAAGATCAACGGATTCCTTCCACATGGAGCCAAAGACATCCTCACTTTACAAAATACTAGGAAATATAAAACAGCTTCTTTAGGGCCCAGTAATCCTCTTCATCTTCTGCCTTCAGTTCAGCCTGTTGTTCCATAACCAGCTCTACTGCAGCACAGATGTTTGATACATTTAGATGCATGAAGAATATTGTTTTAGAAGTTTGCTAAATCAGAGAGATTCCTCAAGACTACTATGGGAGCTCCAACATTCTCCCATCTTTAGGAAAAGCTTAACATGCTGATCTGGACTGATGTTTAGCACTCATGATCAGTTCTACCCATGATTAATGTGGGACTATTCTGATTGGATCTGTTCAGCAGAAACGTCTAAGCTGATTGGACAAAGTGACACCTAGTGCCCACATAGCAGCAAACAAACCACAAAGACTTTGGCTTTTATGATTTTACAGCTCCTCTTTTCATGGATTCTGATAAACAGATGTGGAAGCAGCAGCTACACATTCATCCTCCTGCACTGCCATGTTTATTTGTATCAACTTTATTTTCCTTAAACCATAATACTGGAAGATTATTGGGTGACTTGTGTATATAGAATATAGAAATCTAAATAAATATATAAATATATACATATATATATATATATCTATATATATATAGATATATATATATATATATATATATCTGCGATGGACTGGCAACCTGTACCTGAGTGAAGTTGGCCCCCCCACCTTCTTCAAAGCAGACAAAATTAGTGTCAAACATTTGTGCTACGTTTGTGCGCTGGTTTGTGCAGCAAAAATTTTCGTTTGTGCTGCTATCATTTTAATGATATAAAGAAATGTTTCTAGAGGTCATCAAAGGTCAACCAGCACCCCTCCACCCCACCTTCTTCAAATGAGGCAAAGTGGATATCAATTAACTCAGCTCTGTTTTGCTGTTTTGTGCAGCAAAAACAGATGTTAACTGACCTTTGATGGCTTCTACAAAATATTATTAATATCATTGAAATGATAGCAGTACAAATGAACATTTTTGCCATACAAAAATATGAAATTTTAGAATTCATTTTAAATATAAAATATTTAAAATAAATATATAAGAAATTTAAATATGCATATTTTAAAATATATAAATTTTTTGTTCTGCTATCATTTTAATTATATTAATAATTGTTTGTAGAAGCCATCAAAGGTCAGTGAAATTTTTTTCATTCTGAATTATATAATTTTAAAGTGTAAAAAAAATGATAGCGGCACAAACGAAAATTTTTGCTGCACAAACCATCACAAACGTTTGACACTAATTTTGTCTAATTTGAAGAAGCTGGTGGGGCTGGTTGACCTTTTGACCTTTACATTTTCATTAATATCTTCAAAGCCAAAGCAGCACAAACAAAAAATGTTGCTGCACAAACCAGCACAAACAGAGCTTTAATTGACACCCATTTCGTCTGATTTGAAGAAGGTGGGGGGGCTGGTTGACTTTGATGACCTCTAGAAATATTTCTTTATATCTTTAAAA